AGAGTTGAAGACAGCTGTGGTGCCAAATTTCAAGAAAAAAAGGAAAAGAAAAAAATAGCAAATCCTTGTTTGTTAGGCTGTCACCAAACATCACTGGGAATCCGTCCCACTTGTGCATGGAAACTCCTATTGTGGAGTCTGAAAAAGGAAAGCTTAGGATTTTCTAGGAGAAAAAGAGATCATATTTTCTAGCTAGAGAATAGAAGCATGTAAATTACTTTCTGAGAAGGTTTGTAGGGAAAAATAAATAACTCTAAGAAGAATGGTGTGTTTATTATGGTGTTATTATCAAGATTTCAGAACAGGCCCTGGCTCCTGTTGCTTAGTTGGTTGGGTGCCTTCCCATGCACCAAAAGGTTGCTGGTTCAATTCCTGGGCAGGGCACATGCCGAGGTTTGGGGCTCAATCCCCAGTAGGGGTTGTGCAGGAGGCAGCTGATTGCTATTTCTCTCTCATATCAATGTTTCTCTCTCTCTCTCTCTCCCACTTCTCTCTCTCTAAAAGTCATTAAAACATCTTTTAAAAAAATTTCAAAAACAGTGAAGGAGACTGAAGAACTCAATTTAGGCAGCAATTGTCGTTTAGTGGACATTTATTTTAAACCCAGAATTGTTGTTTTTCAAACTGAGATCAAGGAAGAGAAAGGTTCTCCTGACATATGTTGGGGAGGAAAATTTTCCAATGCCTCACAGAGGTTCTTTGGATGGTCTAATAATCAAATAGACATGAGGCAAACTAACAGGGGAAAATTCAATTTAATTTCATACATACAAGAACCACCCCCCACCAGTGGTTCTCAACCTTCTGGCCCTTTAAATGCAGTTCCTCATGTTGTGGCCCAACCATAAAATTTTGCTACTTCATAACTACTGTTATGAATTGTAATGTAAATATCTGATATGCAGGATGGTATGCAGGATGGTCTTAAGTGACCCCTGTGTAAGGGTCGTTCGACCTCCAAAGGGGTCACAACTCACAGGTTGAGAACACACACACACACACACACACACACACACACACACACACACACGAGAGGTTCCAAGACAGAACGTTAAAATAAGGTACACATGCTATCATCTTGAGCCAAGGAATGGGATAGGGGCCTAGAGCTTCAGGGGGTGGAGGGGTAGGATAATTTACAGGATGATAAGGAAAGCAGATGTTCAGTAATTAGGTACTCTCCCGGCCATACAGATAGGACATAAAATTTTATTTCTGATAATAGCTCCTTATGGGCAAGGCTCACAATTTAAATTCTTTAAGGGAGAGGTAAAAGCAGTTTCTTGAGCCTGTATGGTCTTCATTGCCTTTAGTTTGAAATAATCCACATGTCCAAGCCATACATCTTGGGGAGGCCTGTTCTGAGCCCCTTCATATACATGAGATAAATCATCCTGCCTTCCCCAAACCTCCTGCTGGCAAATGCTGTGCTTCCCTCGATCAACTCAGTTTGTGTGAGTGGGAAATGAAGAGCAAGGCAAGATCTCCCCCTGCTTCCGGCTCATTTTCCCTGAATAAGCAAAAGTCTCACCTTCATTTTCTTGGTTCTTTGAAAACAAAAAACTTAAGAAAATGTTATGGCCACCATACCTAGTGGGAAATCACTCAAGTGGAACTTGTCATCCTCTTAATCCACTTATAATGATAGAGCGCTGATTTGTACATCTAATTACTGAAGCCTCATTATTGCTGCACTGAAATCAACGTGGCACCTTCAAATATGCACCTTCCCAGGAATGAGACCCTCCAGTCATTCCCCCTCGCCCGACCTTAGTGGCGAGCTCATGTCCAGTCTTACTCAGAAGCGAGCTTTGTCAAAGATTCAAAGTCACCCTTTCAGGCACCTGCACTTGTCAGCGCATGCCTAAAACCAGCTCTGTGAGGTGGTAGGTAATGAAGTTTGGCTCCACAAGTGGAAATTACTAATTTATTAGTGTTTTTTGAGTGGAAAACAGGCATGTGGATAAAGGGAAACCCATAGATGGATTCTACAAAGTCTTTACAAAAACACTTTTGAAAATGTTCCACACCATGGGTCACTAATAAATGTAAAAGCTGTATTCTTGGGATGGGGGAGTACTCTTTGATCTGAGAAAATGAACCGGCTTAAGAGAAAAATAAAATGCTCAGAATTTATATAATTTTTGTTTGTATAGAAAAAACTAGAAGGGGGAAATAATTGGGCTTCTTGGGATTAGTATTATGATGCATAATGTTTAACATGTTTATTGCATGATATTTATCATTTTGACTCTTAAATGTTTTGACCCAGTAGGTCAGACACATGACCCAGAAATCTGTGCTTTAAATTCCTAACTCACAGTCTTATAATTATGGCTAATTTGCTATTTGCCATACACTACTGAAAACTTTTCATGAAGAAACCTTATTAATCCTTATAACAACCCCAGGAAATATTACAATGTCCCTTTTACAGAGTAAGAAACTGAGGCATAGAAAAGTTGAATGATTTCTCTAAAATCACAGTGAGTGGCACAGCTACAAGTAAAGATAGAAAGGTGTTTTCATTGATGACCTAGAAGAAGAAAATGGACAACATTGTTGATCATTTGCTAAAAATGCTGCTTCTCTTTGCAGCTCCTCTTCAAAAGGGCATAAGTATAGTGACTCCTATTGGACATAGTAGTTCACTTACTCACTGACTTATTTTTATTCAAGTTTAAGAAAATATTTCTTGGCTTTCATTGACTTTTTGCTTTATTGCTCTTTTGGGAATGTGTAGTCCTATGGGTAAGAAGGCATTAATGGTATGAAAGGACAAAATAGCAACAGATTACTGAGTTTTCCTTTTCTCTATTCCTGGTCAGAGATCTGTGCCTCTTTTCTTTTCGGCTTTGGGTGTGTGTGTGTGTGTGTGTGTGTGTGTGTGTGTTCAAAAAGAGTGAAGCAACTCCATGGATTTATAGAGGCTTAGCAGAAAGAAATAAGAGTAAGGAGAGAAAATGTGGATTCATTTTTTAAAGAGCACCTAAAGAAGAAATGCCAAAACCAGATATTTAATGTAATGGACCAAACGCTGGGGGAAGCTGAGATTAAGACTGAACAGAGCTGTCTTGATTTTCTAACAAGTATCTTAACATCTCCCAGTGATGGTGGGATGTGAGGGTGGAAGCTGAAGGTAGAGCCACAGTATTGTAATGCATGATTTCAGGCTGACTTCAATCAAGCAAAATTAAGTTTGTGCTACGTCCTGCTTGTTGTTGGCTGCAAGTTATCTGAAAGGGCAGAAACTACAAGATTTCCATTTACTCGTGAATTTATATTGCTGTGTAATTGTCTTGATTGTCAACCGTTATATAGGTGTTTCATATGAGTGTCTTTCCTTAGCAGTAAGATTGGAAGCTTATAAAAACAGAGAGTAACATTTGCTATTCTCTATGCTGTTTGACACTTAGCAAAGGACTGGGCATTGAGAATTTAATTTAATTTAATTAACTATATTAAACCAATGCATCTTCAACCTGCTCCTTGTTTGTCTTTGTGATCTAAAAGGGATGCATCTAATATTGTGTTATTCAATTTAAAGTTTCAACTTTTTTTTCATTTGCTTGACAAAGTTGGGCGAGAGAAAATGCAGCCTGTAGAACATATCAAACATTGATGTTGCCCTCACATACACGTACACTTTCATAAAAGCAAGTCTTGTACTTCAGAACTGTCATTGTGCCTTTATCAAATGGGTTAGTACCTAAAATAATAAATACTCTTTGAAAGAATTTCTCATTAAACAAATAAAAACCTATAGCCGATGTGAGCACAAAAAGCTCCATAATTTTTTATGGAGATCCCAAATTCCATGAATACTTTGTACCCAAATGCCTATTCATGGAAAACAAGGGCATTGATCTGTGTTTAAAACAAGGAAAAATATCTCTAGGGAATAAATATCTCTAGAGTGTAGCACATTTATTAATGCCCCAAAGAAATAAACAATCTGAACAGTTTAGCACGATTATGTGTTTCCATAGCATAGCGGATTTATTCTAACATTTTCCCACCTGGAAAAACTGGGTTCAAGTGTCTTCGGCAATGGCAACGCAACATTGCGTCTCCTCAGAATGTCATGCCACTCTCAGAGCAATCCTATACTTGCAGGAATGGGGCTGGGTGGTGGTGGTGGTGGCAGTAGTGATTGTAAAGGTTCTGGTGTAGAAATTGCAGATGGAGAGCGGGGCTCTGGGCATGGAAGTGGAGAGGAGCGAGGAGCGGAAAGGAGCCTGGAGAAAAGGCTGTCATATTTGCTCAGAAGAACCGCCAAATCAGAGAGCAGAGAAGATTTCATTGGAGGAACGCCTTCACCAGCAATTAATCCTGTCATACTGCAAGAAAATTGTAAATGTTCTCTCCAGAAACTGTCCGCCCATTGCAGCTAATGGAACACACACGCACGAAGGGACCCGCTCTCCTGCTCTACACCAAAGGCGCCCGGTGCAGAGACCCGCTCCAGCGAGCGCACGCGCGCGCGCACACACACAAACACACACACGCGCGCACACACACGCACACGCGCCAGCCTGAGGGTTGGCCAGAGTCTTGCAACCGCAGATCCCGCTAGGAAATAGCCACAGGCACCCTGAAGTCGGTGTTGCCGCTACTCTGATCACTACTTTCCCAAGCACTTTGGTGAAGAAATGCATCCCGCCCAGCTCGCCGGTCCATGCAGGTCTCGGTTCTATTCCGTTCTCCAGATTCCTCATCTTCCTGAAAGCCAGGCTCCAAAGTCCTTTTTGCTTCTCCTTGGGTGGTTTGGTGTGGAGGGCGGGGGCAGCGTCAGTTTCACTTCAATCTAAGCCGCCGAGGGGTTCCCGACTGGCCGAGGGACCGGGACCCCTGTGATGTGCGCGACTCTGGCGGCGCGCGCCGGAGCCCCGCAGCTCTGGCCAGAACCACCGGGTCCGCTCTCTCCCCGCCTCCCCCGCCCCACCCCTCCGGGTGTCGCGGCACCAACTAATCTTTTCCTTTTCTCTCGCAAGATCAAGGGAGAAAGCGAGCGGGCGGCTGGCTTAGGACTCTGAGCCCTGCGCAGCCCGCGCCGGAGCCGGTCCGCCCCGAACCCGCGAAGGGCTCCTCGCGCCTGCCAGCTGCACCGAGGAAGTCGCACTCCGGGGAGGTAGCTGGAGCCAAACCCGCAGCAGGTAAGAGCGCCGCGCCGCCCAGCTCTCAGCCTGCCTGCGCCCGGGGCCCTGGCACAGCGGGGTCCCTCCCGATCTCCAGAACCGGGTGCGGAGGCTCGGGGTTGGGAAACTGGCCGAGGGTCCCCCACAAGTGCAGATTCTCAAACGGAAACTTTGGCTCCCGGGGCTTGGAGGGCTGAAGGGAGCGATGGCGGGTCTGGCAGGAAGGGGCAGACGAGGCACCGCGCGGGGCAGGGCTGTGATTCCGCGGGTCACTGAGTCCCGCGGAAGGTAGAAGGCAGCCTGGGAGCCGCGCCTGCCAGGGCACCGCTGCCTCTTCCAACCCGACACCCCTCCACGGTCACCCGACTCCCTCCCGCTCCCCGCGATGCCGTCACTGAAAAGACAGGGAGATCTTCGCCCTCTCCTACCCGTCACGGTCCTTCCTGCCTGGATTGCCACGTCTTCCAGGCGTTTGGGGTGGAGGCCCCGCTCGCCAAGGCTGTGCACCGTACCCGGGTTCCGCCCTGTGGTGCCGCGGTTCGTGGACCATGGCCAAGGGCCGGGGCACAAGCATGAGCGAATGGTCCCAGGACAGAGGAGGGGGAAGCCTTGTGCAACCCCGTCCCAGTTCAGCTCCGCGAAGCATATAGGCTTTCCGCCCAGGCTGGGGGACAGGGGCTCAGCCCAGAGCTCCAGAGGTCCAAGACCGTGCCGGGCATCGCCAACACCCGCCTCACGATGGGCCCTTGGCAGCCCGGCGGGGCTCGGGTCCTGGATAGGGGCGACTCCACTCCCGATGTCCCTGGCGGTCCGCACCTGCGGACCTGAGCGATCGCGAGTGTCTTCTGGCTCGCGGAACCCGCGAGATGCTGTCCGAGCCCGCGCGGGGTGGATCGCGCACACATTCCACCTGTGAGCCCTGCCCGCAGCCCCTGGGGCGCCCTCAGAGGGGTAGGAGGAAGCTCACCTAGGGGAGCTCTCAAGAGGTGAAGATTCCCCCCGAATTACCGACACAGAGACAGAGCGGCACACACCCCTGCCTCAGTTCCCTCAGCTTCCCTCCAGGGTCCCCATCTCTTTCTCTCCCCTCCTGCGTCGCCAGTCCTCCAGGCTGCCTTGAGCCTCAAAACCGCCCAACCGAACTCACCAACCCCAGGTCATGAGACCAGGCTGTTGCCTGTATGGAAATGTCACCTCGGTGCAGAGGCGGGAGGAGAGCAGAGAAACAGAGATAGACGCGGAGGGCAAGAAGACCTGCCTGCAGATATCTCACCCGAGCTGCCCTCAGGTGTCCTGAAGTTAGTTCACGGCCCGGCACCTCTGTGACTGAGGCCACCTAGGGTCACCCGTCTGCCCGCCCAGGCGTGGCCAGCCCAGCGAAAGCACGGTGCTTCCCAGCCCTCCAGCTCCGGAATCTCCCACACTGACTCTCTAGTTCCCGTTCATCTTCTCTCTGCAGTCTGTTTGGTTTGTCTGGCTTTCTTGCTCTTTTTCTTAGCGCTGGGGGGCGGTGGGTACCTGGCAGCCAGCCTTGTGGTGTGTCCGTCCCCCAGCACACGCAGCCAGCCGCACAGACACAGGTCCCCACGCTCTACCGCACACCGCCCGCGCTCCAGCGGGCAGTCCGCAGTCTGGGCTCCACAGAGCCGCGCGCCCATGTCCAGGGCCAAGGTCAGGGTCATGGCCACGGCCTCAGTTCCGCAGAGGACCGGGCTGGAGGAGAACGGAGCCAACCCCGACTCCAAAAAAACCACCGTAGGACAACAGAAAAAGCCTGAGAAAAACTCGAATTTGGGTTGGGGTGGGATGGGGGGAGGTTCTAGGGGAGAAAGACCGGCCCTCCAGCTGCATGGGGCAGCTTTAAGAGACTGGGGCTGGGTGCCCTGCCTCTGCCCCCCCTCCCCTCCCACCAGGCCTCAGGCCAGAGCCCACCCTTGGCGGGCAGCCTCTCTCCAGCCACTCAGGGAAGTCCAGATGGTTGGTTCCTGGGGCGGACCAGCAGCTCACTGCATTCCTGGCCATTCTGCTTTACCTGAATGGAGAGGTTGCTGAAGGTGAGGTAGTTCTAAACTCTCTCAACCCCGCAAAGGCCATGCTTTGTTCTTTTGCTGGCAATCTGGTTGTATGTATACATAGTACTGAGAAGCACATGGTACATTTTCATTGATAAGCAAATAATAAGGGTGATGATACAGTTTGAAACTACAGTTAGGAGTGTGCGTGTGTGTGTGTGTGTGTGTGTGTGTGTGTGTGTGTGTGTGAAATCTTTGGGGCCTTCACAACAAGGGCATTGATAATCATAGAAGTAAACCAGTTGTTGTGGCCAGTGACTGGTTTCACATTGGGAACTGCATTCGGCTGCAATTCAGAGGGTGGACTTTGAGACTCTTGTCAAGTGAGTGGAAGAATTTTGTGCTAAAAGTGTCACAGCTCTGCGGGTTTTGGCAGCTAAGAACCTCAAGAAGCAGTAAGTTCATGCCAGATGAATTTTTATTGTTATCACTGTTATTAGTAATGTGTTCGGGTTGTGGCAGAGATAAGAAGATTCTGTGGACTCTACACGCTTTACTGGGTTAAACAATTATCCCCGTGAAAACTGAAAAATAAAACTTGACCCTGAAAAGGCATAACAATTCCAGCCCCATCCACTTACTGTTTTAAAACTCTGAGTGAGGTGGGAGTGGGGAGAGTCCTGGGACCCCAAATTCAGGGTGTGCTTCCTGACAGATGCTTGGTTTTCTTTCAAATGCAATAAATGCGTGTTTATGTAAGTGTGCCTGAGGGTGTCTGGAGGGGGATTGGAGTGAGGAAATAGGTGGATTTTTATATTCCCGTCATAGTTCAAGTGCCTGCTTGTAGTTCTCAAGTGACTTCAGGGGTGGAGGTGGAAGAGACTGGCCATCACACAGAAGTACAGGTCCCTTTGGTATGGTCCCCACAGTCTGTCAACTTGGGGGGTCAGCTAGTGCTATTTTCACATTAAAACATTACGTTGCTTTGAATGTGACTCTATGCCCTTCTTTGCCCAGATAACCCCCAACTGCAAGCAGGTGGATGTAAATTTAGTGGGAATTTTCTAATTTCAGTTCCAGGGTAGCCAGCTCTCAGGTTCAAGGACACAGAAGGGAGAGGGGTGGCTCCAGAGGTGAGAAGAAAACAGTAGTTTGCAGCCTGCTGGCCGGTGGGGGAGGCCTGGAGGGCAAGTCAGGGGAGGGGGAGAGGTGGGCTGTTTAGGGAGCACATGCCTCTCTGACCCATAGCCCTGAACAACGTAAAATCAAGTAGAAAAGATGAAGAGAGGACAGTAGAATAAGAGGAAATGAAGAGGAAATGGGAGAAAGAAAGAAAAAAATAAAGAAAGGTAGGAACCTGTGGGTATACTATTAACAGGCACAAGTGCTGGGTTCAGCCTCCATCACTGGAGTTAGTCCTTGTTTGGGGTATGCCTGGGAGAAAATGCCTGTAACTGTCTAAACCTGACCACTCTAGCCCCACTCTTAATTTTATCTTAGTCTTTCTTCCCTTTACTCCGTAGGATCAAGAGAGAAACATTTTGTTAGCCAGTTCCTCTAAAGAACTGGTTTTCTTCACTTAAACTTATATTGGAAGTGGTTGCCCATTTTATGATGTGGACTCTGTGTGATTTTCCTCAGGGGCCACCTATATATCAAACACTGTCAATATCCTCTTTGTGGCTGTCAACATCTGGCTGTCAGTCCCTATCACCTGCCCCCACTTTGCCTATCTTTGGTTCATGGAGCAAGTGTTGGGACTGCTTTCATTAGAGGGCATTGGAGCAAGGCCACTGATTACATACACCCAAGCTCAGCTGGGTCACGTGGTGGTGCTGGTGGTGGTAATTTTAGGAGTGTGTGTTTTGTGTGGTGCAAAGGAAACAGGTCATTCCCCTTAGAAAAGAATTTTTAAAGAGTGTGTTCAAAGTCCCCGGCACTGTCCTAAGTACCTTACATGTATTGTGTTATCTGTTCTGTCTCCACTGTTTACAACAGTATCTGGCACATCTTAGGTTAAGTATTTGTTCAATGTGTGAATGGGTGAATCAGTTTTCTCATTTTATCATCGCAACAAACCTATGAAATAGATGTTATTTTTCCCATTTTACAAATGAGGAAACCAGAGTTCAGAGGTAAGGACCCCAAGTCACACAGCTAGGAACTTGCTGCCTCCTGCTGTGCTGCTTGGCTCCATTAATTGTTGTAACACTGTTTGCCCTGCGTTTGGGAAATCAAAACTGCTCAGAGTTTGCTGATGTTCTCCCCCTCCTTTTAATTCAATTGTGCATATTCGTGTGGTATCCCCTCCACCCTAACTGAGAAAGATTCAGAGCCAACTAGATTCTTAGTTGCCGCAACATGCTTGTTGGAATTAAAGTGTTTGCCTCTGGCAGAGGAAAATGAGGGCACCAAAATTGCCTTAAATTTTGGCAGATGCTATTTCTACCTATAGCTTTACTGAGATTTTCTTTGTCTGGTGCAAAAGGATAAAAGAGAATTTTTATATCTTCCAGTTGTTAACGTACAAACATCCAAACCTGTAAAAATTTTTTGTGAGTTTATTTGAGCCAAACTGTTGACAATTACCGGGGAACAGAATCTCAACAGATTGGGATAATGCTCCAGAGAATGACAGTTCTTCACCTGTTTTATACATTACAATCAAAGGAGGAGACATAAGTGGGTTCCATGAAATCCACTGGTGATAGATTAGGGAGGCGGGAGAAAGCAAAGGGGTGGGGGGACCTCTGGAATTGGATAAAAAGTAAGATGATAGATACATGCTTCTTTTATTTAGGTGGGTGCAGGATAGTTAACAGTCAACAATTAACATGATAACAATCACAATGGAGGAATTTATAGTATTTGGTTGTGCCCTGAGGGATCCGGAAAAAGGGAAGTTACAAGTTACCCTGACATTTCACGAGGATGTTATCTTAGGTGCAAAAAGACAATAGGCTCAGTTCAGGTAAAGACTGACCTTTATCAGGGAAGATACTGGTC